GGACATTGTCGGGGTGGCCAAGAAGAATGGATTCAACTACATCTCGGACCGTGCTGGATTCGACAATTTGAAGGGCGGAGCTTCGGTCGACTTCCCCATGTTAGGACTCTTTGCTGCCACAGATATCCCTTATGAAATCGACCGCCGCAATCAAAACGACATCTACCCAAGTCTGCACGAGATGGCCGAGGCCGCCATGAAGGCGCTCAGCCATGCGACCAGGGATAGCGACAAGGGCTTTTTCCTAATGATTGAGGGTTCCAGGATCGATCATGCAGGCCACCACAACGACCCTGCTGCTCAAGTCCACGAGGTGCTTGCATATGACAAGACTTTTAACAGCGTGCTCAACTTTATCAAGAAGGAGAAGACACAGACCGTCATGGTTTCGACATCTGACCACGAAACTGGTGGCCTAGCAGCCGCTCGACGTACGTCTCCCACACTTTTTGTACAAACCGCAGCTAACACATCCTCCAGAACTCCATGCTTCATACCCCGAATATCTCTGGTACCCATCTCCCCTCGCCAACGCCTCCCACTCTGCCGAACATCTCGCTCTCGCCTACAACACGTTCCTCGCAACCAAACCCTCGGCCGATCAAACCGCCGACTTTATCCGCGATTCCATCACCACCGGTCTGGGTATCCACGATTTCAACGATGACGAAGTCAACAATCTCGTCAAGGATCCCGCAACTTCCCTCTACCAATACGCAGACATGATTTCGCGCCGCTCGCAGACGGGCTGGTCGACTCACGGTCACAGCGCCGCAGACGTGAACATCTATACCTCTGATCCCGAAGCTGCACACGCACTCCAGGGTAACCATGAGAACACCGAGGTTGGCCAGTTCCTGAGGGACTATCTGAATGTCGATGTCAATGCTGTAACGAGGGAACTGCTCGAAAAGGGCCGGGGATTGACGGTGCAGGATTTCAATGGCACTGAAGTCAGTTGGATGGGTAAGATTCCGGATGTGGGCGAGAGACTGGATGGCCAGACGCATTTGGCGAGTTATGGGGGTGATTTCAAGAAGAGGAATGAGGGTGTTTTGCATGGCGAGGCGTGTGGATGTGGGCATTAAGCGTTCATCTCCCTTCCTTTTTTACGTCTAACCTAAGATTTTCAAGACCATTCGAGCGTTTTTGTATGCTATATGCTTTTATGGGGGTTTTTTTGAACGTTGAGTCAGGATTGTTCTGTGTTATGTGGGTATGCTGTATGGGTTGCATAGATTTTCTTACAATGATTACAGTTGGAAAGGTATTTAATATTCAGAAACTACTGCTTCGATATCTACTGCCTAATATGGATTCTTCTGACATATCAAGTCATCTTCCTTCTCTTGAATCATATCTAGATTATGTTATCATTTCTTGCTAATACAAGTAACTTTTCTATGTTCAGTTTTTATTTGTCGTTCCGAACTATAGCTACAGCTTTTTGGTATTGAAACCTCCGTCTATCCAACTCTTTCTTAGCGAAATTGTTTTCCTTAAACATTCTAACATATCGACACTATCTTAGCGAACTCTCCTTAACCATCCTGGGTCCGATTTTACTTCGCTATCATAATATTTTGATATCTAAGCGAATTTCTGTTCAAATGTAATACAAGGCACATAGACAATAGGAAATAAAATATAGGAGAGGCGAAGGTAGAAGTTGAATTTTGAAAAGTGATACTGCAATTTAATATTACAAAAATTGATGATAACCCATTCGTCTGGCCAACAGACACACAATGAATCGCAAGTCCGAACTAACCAAGGAGACAATTGTCACATCTAATAAGCAAGGAGAACACACGTTATATTAATCAATTTAGACATTTACAGCTAAATTCAAACACATTAACAATAAAGACATATAGTGTCACTAAGTGGACTCAAAACTTCAATGATCAATTCCCCGCCCAAACGCCACGCTAAATCAAACACTAAAACTCGCAGATGCCTCAATGATCCAAACTTATTTACCTCCACATTGCCTTTGGATGAATCTGCTGCAGGACCAGAAAGAGATTTCAGGCGGCTCAGAGCACAGGCTGCAGTTCTGATAGCGAAGAAACCAGTTCAGGATGATCCTGCGTGAACCAGTGACCTCATTGTTGGTCCAGATTCGACTAGACACCAAAATCATTTCCAAAAGTTCCACTGCCATATGTCCAGTCTGGCTGTGTATCCAGCAACCAAGAGACAGAATCGAACATTTCAAAACTATTGGCGCTCGCCATGCCATTAGAGAGCTGAAGCGGCATACTGAGCGTATTGATGTGTGGATTGAAGTTTGGCAGGGTATGCGCAGGGTTCTCGATTACCACACCATTTGGCGGTGTGGAATTGCCAGAAGAGTCCGGGTTGGTGGGATTCGTTGTAACGGTTTTTTCGAGTAATTCCGCAGCACCGGCAACCTGCGCTTCGCGCCAGCGCCATGCACAGTCAAATACTACGCTCATACTCATCCGGCTTCTGATTATTAGACCGAGGGGATCATCTAGTAATGTGGCACTGCTTCGTCTTTGGTCGTGTTGTTGCTGTTGCCGCTGATTGTGGTGGTTGAACATACTACTGTTCATACCCGCATTGCTAAGGGAGGGTGATTGCGACATGCTGTGCAAGCTGCGACCTCGAGAGCTTTCCTTCCACAGCTGTGCCAGCACTTCAGCGAACCGATCCAAAAGGTCGTTGGACCACACTTTAGCCTTTCTCAGTGCGTCAACCGTTTGCAGTACAAATTGTCGACCTTTATCCGCGGGCAGTTTGCTGGCAAAGTCGGAATTGAGGAGTTTGAGTAGGGCAAATCCAGCCGCGAGTGCCATCTGCATGACGTAATAGGGAACGTAGGGTAGTTTTCCATCGCTATGCAATTTGAAGACGCGTTCCAGGTAAGCTGTCGCGGCAAAATACAAGGCGACAAGATCGTCACGTCTCTCCAGCCGGGCTTCAGTGCTAAAGAAAGAGTATAAGTGAAGGTGCAATGAGACGGCGTAATGATATAGCTCTTCCAGATCTACTCATTGTTAGTCAATCAGTGCTTGGGGCGAATACTGTCAGTATAATTTACCACTATCCACGCCATCAAGAGAACTATTTTCCTCCTTGACACGCTCCTCCTTCAGGCGATCTGCTTCGAGACTCATGTAACTGATGGCAGCACCTTCGGCAAATCGACGACTGTTCACCGAGTACAGTAGCTTGTTAATCCTGCTTGCTGCCATTTCCTGGCGAAGCCGAACAAACAGCGTTGGTGGTATGATACGCATGTGCTCCTCGTCATCCACTTTGAAATCAAGTGTGGTGTCGTAGAGCGTGATAGAGGGCTGTCCGTTTCCTGTCGATACTCTGGAAGTTGTTAGTCTTTGTCTGGGATTGCAAGCAAGACTAGGCCTACGTTTGTGCTACAATATTGCAGACAGCCCATGTCCTCAGGCGGTCGTGAATATCCTCTTGTCGTAAGCGCATCTTCGTTCTAGAAAAGTCATCTGGATGGGTTGGTTGGTGTAAGCCAATTTGCATTGCGACTTGCATCATGGCACCAGAGAGGATAAAGGTTGGGTCTGTTACTGTTCGCTCTGCCGGTAGAGGCCAGGTACAGAGAAGACACAAGGCCTTGACCACGTGATGGTTTGGTTGATTTCTTATCGAATCCCAAATCAGATCGCTGAGCGGCTTGGCAAGTTCTTTGAGAAGGGACGGCCTAGGTCCGTAGCGACGTGCGGCAACAGCGATAATGGCCCAGAACAGGAGCTTATGGTCCTGGGAATAGTATTCGTCGGGCGACCGTACCTGGTCTAGGAATGGCAAAAATGGGTGGTAGAGCTGGAAATACTCGGTGAACAAGTCGTTGACCTCGCTGTGCCCAAGCCGCACTTCGCCCGTGCCGAGCGAAAAGAACATGGGCGATCCGCTGCGCAGGTCCAGCAGAGACGTTGCCGCAACTTGTGTGTGTTGTGTTTGTAAGAATGCATCGTCCTCGACCTTGGGCACTGAACCGGGAGTGAAGTTGTGACTATTATTTGACGTTTGCGGCGGAGCTTTGAGGACAGGCTGGTTTGGCGTGGACTGGCCCTCGTACATGGCCAGCCTCTCGCGCAGATACTCCATTTCTTTCTCCATCTCTGCATTCCGGTTGCGCTTGCCTATGCGCTTGAAGTTGGGCTCGATGACGCATCGTAGGTTTTGCTTCTGGCAGCGGCCACAGCTGACGAAGGGATCTTGCTGGACGTTGCATTTGAGCTGTGAAGAAAAAAATTAGAGTTAGCAGGAAGAAGCAGTGGTTGTGGAAAAAGAAGAACAAGGATGTTGATCGCCCAACGGTCTACCGCCGGCTGGCACATAGACTGATCTTGCATACCTTTTGCTGGCGACACTCGTTGCATGCGCGCTTCACGGCGGTATTGCGCCGCGACGACGACGACGGGCGCGTATCTCCATCGCCGTTTTCGTCGTCGTCACTGGATGCTGAGCGCTTGAAACCGCGCGCATGGTTGCTGTTGGGGCTAGCGAAAGGGTGCGGAAGGGCTTGCAGTCCTGGCGTCGTCGGCGACAAGGAATGTAGCATGTTGTTCGACATGGCGACCGATATCGCAGACAATTTAGGGTGTCGAGGTGAGTGTAAGTGGGGGTCGCGCTGGCTGAGTGTCCGAGGCCGCCAGCGCAAAAGTCACCTTCACTCGCGGCGCCGAAGTCTGACTCCAACACTCCAGGACCAGGAAGGGCGCGGAACAGACGCTCGATTATGCGCGTCGTTGCAATCGCAAATTGCAAGCTCCACGTCCTCGAGCGCCGGCAAGCTCTACGTACATGAACGCTCGTCAACCACCAATCACATCATCGGGCCCATGCTCGAGTCGCGGCTCACCAGCCTTCTTCTGGCTGGGCACCGTGGCTATCCGACATGTTTCTCCCGTCACGGCTAGATTTATTTGTATCTGAGTCTGAATGACAAGCGCCTCACAGTCTGGAAATGACGTCTGTTACTCATACATCGATACAAAACATGGTTCACATCGTCGTCATTAGTATGCAGGCTATGACATATAAGCAAATATGTATATAGTCCGATTCGGTACCACTGTCGTCTGAGCACATGTTGATATTATGTTGCAATAACAATTCTGCCCTCAAGCCGTGTGTTGACCGACAGCAGCACTCGCGCATTCTTCTCGAAAGACGCAAGCCAGGAAATTTTAGGCGCACCAGTTTGCATTGGAATACGGCTTCTGAGCAAGCATTCAAGCCACCGGCGCTTCACATTGGCGTCACACTATAGTATCCTGGGAGAGTCGTGTCGTAGCTTGTGGATGTATTCGTGATCCTACTCAGCTACATCCTGGCCGAGTGGCGCAGAAATCTTCTTGATATCGTAAAAGCCGACCGAACCAGGAGACTGCCCATAATGCACGTAACACCGTTGACCCAGTTTTGACATGCTAAACCCCATCATCCTTCAACGAAACCGCTTAACGCTTCTTTTGCTGGGACTCCTTGAGCACCTTCTTGACGACCTTCTGCTCCTCGATCAGGAAAGCACGGACAATGCGGTCCTGAACGCAGTTGGCGCATCGCGATCCGCCGTAAGCGCGCTGGACGGTCTTCTTGGGGCGGGAAACTTGGGCGTACTCGCGGGGGCGGAGGGCGGGGACACCCTGGAGCTTGGTACCACAGTCCTGGCAATCGTCAATAGCACGTCTTGACGCCGTGTCAATTCAACTTACACCGCACTTGGGGGCAGTGCCCTTCTTCTTGATGTGCAGGTAACGGAGCTCACCACCGGGAGTCCTGACAATGCGGACCTTCTGGCTCTTGGTGTTGTATGGCGCACGTCGCCTCTGCCCAATGTCAGCCTTCAATTCCGAATTTCCTCTTGGGCACTCTCAATCGCCGGGTCCAGCTCTCGAGATTGCGGTGCGACGTACGTAGGTGAGTCTGTTGGAAGGCATCGTGATAGATTTCCCGGGGAGTCAGTGGGTAATTGTCTGCAGTGATGTGAGCGATGTCGTCTCCGAGGTGGCGTGGCGCGCCGAAAAAAATCGTACCTGAGTCTAGACAAGAATTAGTATGGGACAATAACTGCCAGCACGTTGTCGATGAAACTTACCACTGGGGTGCTGTGTCGTTAGTGATCGGACGTCGAGAGATCAAAATTCCGGTGTTCTGCAATTCTCGCTTACCAGGACCTGGCGCTAGTGGGCTAGGCAGAAGCTAGCGTGCGGCGACCCACCGCCTTAGTCACGTGCCCGTGTTGCTGTCTGCAGATGTCGCGAAGACAAAAGTTCATGCACGCCACTAGCGATCCATCTCCATCACCTCACCCACACAACGCGCGGGGTCGTATCTCTGCATCGTGTGCGCCGCCTCTCTTTCGAATTTCGAGCAATTGGAGGTTGTTGTTGAACGGGCGCGCCGACGCGACTTTTCCCTTCTTCGACCGCGGCGCTGTCCGCAGAGCTCAGGACTAGACTCCTAAGCTTGTCGCGACCTGTGCTCAGTCGACTCGTGCAGTGCAGTGTTGCACCAGTGTCGTTTTCTTAAAGGTCGGCAAATCTCTCGTTCCCTGTTAAACGGTGTTGCCAAACATAAGAAGGTGTTGCTAGAGACCTAGCTATCATCCTTTCACCCCCGACCCTCTCAGCGCAAATCCATTCCAGTCGCGCCCAGGAGCTTTATCTGACGGCAGCAGCTTTTTATACCCTACAGTAATCAACATGGATTTTCCTCCACCCCCTCCACCCCCTCCACCGGGTCCTCCTCCCCCAGGCCCTCCAGGTTCTGGATATGCGCCACCACCTCCGCCACCACCACCTCCGGGCCCACCAGGCGCGCCTGGCACCGTTGGACCTCCCGGTATGCGCCCACCGGTCGACCCACAAATCACCAAGTTCGCGCAGAAGAAGAAGGACTGGCTAAGACAGCAGCGTCAAAGGTTCGGCGAAAAGCGCAAGGCTGGTTTTGTGGAGACGCAGAAGGCAGATCTCCCCCCAGAACATTTGCGCAAGGTCTTCAGGGATATTGGCGATGTATCTCAGAAGAAGTTCACTTCAGACAAGCGAAGCTATCTCGGTGCGCTGAAGTTCATGCCACATGCTGTTCTGAAGCTCCTCGAGAATATGCCCATGCCCTGGGAGAGTAGACGTGATGTAAAAGTCCTCTACCACACCAATGGGTGCTTGACGCTAGTGAATGAAGTTCCCCGTGTGATTGAGCCCGTGTTCCACGCACAATGGGCCGCCATGTGGCTGGCTATGAGAAAGGAGAAGAGCGACCGCCGACATTTCAAGCGAATGCGTTTCCCACCCTTTGACGATGAAGAGCCCCCTCTTTCGTACTCGGAGAACATTGAGGATGTGGAGCCTTTGGAGCCCATCCAGTTGGAACTTGACGAGGACGAGGATAGCCCTGTGTTTGAATGGTTTTATGACCACCGGCCACTTCTCGACACTCCACATGTGAACGGTCCCAGTTACGAGACTTGGAATCTGGATCTCCCTCAGATGGCGACTCTATATCGCTTAAGCAAACAGCTTCTCAGCGACATTGTTGACAAGAACTACTTTCACATGTTTGATTTAGACAGCTTCCAGACTGCCAAGGCCCTCAATGTTGCGATACCCGGGGGTCCTCGCTTTGAGCCCCTGTACAAGGACATTGACCCGAATGACGAGGACTTTGGCGAGTTCAACGCAATCGACCGCATTATCTTCCGATCCCCCATCCGGACCGAATACCGCGTATCATACCCATACCTTTACAACTCGCTACCTCGAAGTGTCAAGCTGGCTTGGTACTCATATCCACAGGTTGTCTACGTCCGCGCAGAAGATCCGGATCTACCAGCCTTCTACTTCGATCCTGGAATCAATCCTATTTCTTCCAGAGCTGTTGCTCCGAAGAACTTGGCCGTAAGTCACGAGGACATGGTTTTCGGGGATGCCGACGAGGACGACGAGGATGATTTCCAGATGCCCGAAGACGTGGAGCCATTCATGGCTGATGAGGATCTTTCTACACCAGACACTGCTTCTGCTATTGCGCTTTGGTGGGCGCCTCATCCGTTTGATAAGCGATCAGGTCGCATGGTCAGGGCACAGGATGTTCCCCTGGTCAAGCAATGGTACCTCGAACATGTACCTGCGGGCCAGCCAGTCAAAGTCCGAGTCTCCTACCAGAAGCTGCTGAAGACATATGTTCTCAACGAACTGCACAAGAAACCACCTCAAGCACAAAATAAGCAAAACCTTATGAGGACATTGAAGAGCACCAAGTTCTTCCAACAGACCAAGATTGACTGGGTTGAAGCCGGTCTGCAGGTGTGCCGCCAAGGCTACAACATGCTGAACCTACTCATCCACCGCAAGAACTTGACCTATCTGCATCTCGACTACAATTTCAACTTGAAGCCGGTCAAGACTCTTACCACCAAGGAACGAAAGAAGTCACGTTTCGGAAATGCTTTCCATCTGATGCGTGAAATCTTGAGATTGACGAAGCTCATTGTTGATGCTCAGGTGCAATATCGTCTAGGCAACATTGACGCCTTTCAGCTTGCCGATGGTATCCTGTATGCCTTTAACCACGTCGGTCAGCTGACTGGTATGTACCGTTACAAGTACAAGCTGATGCACCAGATTCGATCCTGTAAGGACCTAAAACATTTGATTTACTACCGATTCAACTCTGGCCCTGTGGGCAAGGGTCCTGGATGTGGTTTCTGGGCTCCCGCCTGGAGAGTCTGGTTGTTCTTTATGCGAGGTATCATCCCTCTGCTCGAGCGCTGGCTAGGCAACTTGCTTTCACGTCAGTTTGAGGGCAGACACAGTAAGGGTGTCGCAAAGACTGTCACCAAGCAGCGAGTAGAATCGCACTTCGATCTTGAGCTTCGTGCAGCCGTCATGAGCGATCTTATGGACATGATGCCTGAGGGAATCAAGCAGAACAAGGTCAACACCGTCTTGCAACATCTTTCGGAAGCATGGCGTTGCTGGAAGAGTAACATCCCTTGGAAGGTTCCTGGTTTGCCGGCACCTATCGAAAACATCATCTTGCGCTATGTCAAGAGCAAGGCCGATTGGTGGATCTCAGTCGCCCATTACAATCGTGAGCGCATTCGACGAGGTGCCACTGTTGACAAGACTGTTGCTAAGAAGAATCTGGGACGATTGACCCGTCTGTGGCTCAAGGCCGAACAGGAGCGCCAGCACAACTACATGAAGGATGGTCCTTATGTTTCGTCCGAAGAAGCTGTTGCTATTTACACGACCATGGTACATTGGCTCGAAGCCAGAAAGTTCCAACCGATTCCTTTCCCCAGTGTTTCATACAAACACGACACCAAGATTCTGATTCTAGCGTTGGAGCGTTTGAGGGAAGCTTACTCTGTCAAGGGTCGTCTCAATCAGAGCCAGCGTGAAGAACTGGCACTCATCGAGCAGGCATATGACTCTCCTGGAACAACACTGGCTAGGATTAAGCGCTTCCTGCTTACGCAACGTGCGTTCAAGGAAGTTGGTATTGATATGAACGACAACTACAGCAGCATCAACCCTGTATACGACATTGAGCCAATGGAGAAGATCACAGACGCATACCTTGATCAATACTTGTGGTACCAAGCCGATCAGCGACACCTATTCCCGGCTTGGATCAAGCCTTCAGACTCTGAAGTTCCCCCTCTCTTGACATACAAATGGGCACAGGGTATCAACAATCTTGATCAAGTCTGGGAGACTAAGGATGGCGAATGCAACGTCATGATCGAAACCCAGCTATCAAAGGTCTACGAGAAGATAGACCTGACAATGTTGAACCGACTGTTGCGTCTCATCATGGACCACAACCTGGCAGACTACATCACAGCCAAGAACAACGTACAGCTCAACTACAAGGACATGAACCACGTCAATGCTTATGGCATGATTCGTGGTCTACAATTCTCTGGGTTCGTGTTCCAGTACTATGGTCTTGTCTTGGATATCTTGCTGCTGGGCTTGCAGCGTGCAAATGAGATCGCTGGCGCTCCTGAGAGTCCCAATGATTTCTTGCAGTTCAAGGACAAGGAAACTGAGGTCCGCCACCCTATTCGTCTCTACACTAGGTACATTGACCGCATCTGGGTCTTCTTTAGGTTTACCGCCGAGGAGTCGCGAGACTTGATCCAGCGATTCTTGACTGAGAATCCCGATCCCAACTTTGAGAATGTCATCGGCTACAAGAACAAGAAGTGCTGGCCGCGTGATTCCAGGATGCGATTGATGCGTCACGATGTGAACCTTGGTCGCGCCGTCTTCTGGGATCTCAAGAACCGACTGCCGCGGTCAGTTACGACCATTGAGTGGGATGACACATTTGCCAGTGTCTACAGTCGCGACAATCCCAACCTGCTCTTTTCCATGAACGGTTTCGAAGTGCGCATCCTGCCCAAGATCCGAAACTTGACCGGCGAATTCCCCGTCAAAGATAGTGTCTGGTCGCTTGTCGACAATTCCACAAAAGAACGCACCGCCGACGCCTTTTTGCAAGTCACAGAGGAAGACATCCAGAAGTTCAACAACCGCATCAGACAGATTCTGATGTCTTCAGGATCCACCACTTTTACGAAGATTGCCAACAAGTGGAATACAACGCTTATTGCGCTCTTTACGTACTACCGTGAAGCTGCAGTATCAACTGTCAACTTGCTCGACACAATTGTCAAGTGCGAGACCAAGATCCAGACTCGTGTCAAGATTGGATTAAACTCAAAGATGCCGTCGCGTTTCCCTCCTGCAGTGTTTTACACACCCAAGGAGCTGGGTGGCTTGGGTATGATATCTGGCTCACACATTCTCATTCCGACAAGTGACAAGCGATGGTCAAAGCAAACTGATACTGGAGTCACGCACTACCGTGCGGGTATGTCTCACGACGAAGAGACGCTCATTCCAAACATCTTCCGATACATCATTCCATGGGAGTCAGAGTTTGTCGACTCGCAGCGCGTCTGGATGGAATACTCACAGAAGCGTCAAGAAGCACAACAACAAAACCGACGACTGACTCTTGAGGATTTGGAAGACAGTTGGGACCGTGGTCTCCCTCGCATCAACACGTTGTTCCAAAAAGATCGTAGTACGCTCAGTTTTGACAAGGGTTTCCGCGCCAGGACCGAATTCAA